CCCTTTTTTTCCTGATGAGTCTGGCTAATGGTTTATCAATTTTGTTTATCTTCTCAAAGAACCAGCTTTTAGTTTTATTGATCTTTGCTATCATTTCTTTCATTTCTATTTCATTTATTTCTGATCTGATTTTTATGATTTCTTTCGTCCTACTAACTTAGGTGTTCTTTTGTTCTTCCTTCTCTAATTGCTTTAGGTGTAAGTTTAGGTTGTTTATTTGAGATGTTTCTTGTTTCTTAAGGTAGGATGGTATTGCTATAAACTTCCCTCTTAGAACTGCTTTTGCTGCATCCCATAGGTTTTGGGTCATCGTGTTTTCATTGTCATTTGTTTCTAGGTATTTTTTGATTTCCTCTTTGATTTCTTCAGTGATCTCTTGGTTATTAGGTAGTGTATTATTTAGCCTCCATCTGCTTGTATGTTTTACAGATTTTTTCCTCTAATCGATTGCTAGTCTCATTGCATTGTGGTTGGAATAGATACTTGATATGATTTCAATTTTCTTAAATTTACCAAGGCTTGGTTTGTGACCCAAGTTATGATCTATCCTGGAGAATGTTCCATGAGGACTTGAGAAAAATGTGTATTCTGTTGTTTTTGGATGGAATGTCCTATAAATATCAATTAAGTCCATCTTGTTTAATGTATCATTTAAAGCTTGTGTTTCCTTATTTATTTTCATTTTGGATGATCTGTCCATAAAGTCCCCTATTATGATTGTGTTATTGTCGATTTCCCCTTTTATGGCTGTTAGTATTTGCTTTAGGTATTGAGGTGCTCCTATGTTGGGTGCATAAATATTTACAATTGTTATATCTTCTTCTTGGATTGATCCCTTGATCATTATGTAGTGTCCTTCTTTGTCTCTTGTAAGAGTCTTTATTTTAAAGTCTATTTTGTCCTATATGAGAATGCTACTCCAGCTTTCTTTTGATTTCCATTTGCATGGAATATCTTTTTCCATCCCCTCACTTTCAGTCTGTATGTGTCCCTAGGTCTGAAGTGGGTCTCTTGTAGACAGCATATATACACATCTTGTTTTTGTATCCATTCAGCCAGTCTATGTCTTTTGGTTGGAGCATTTAATCCATTTACATTTAAGGTAGTTATCGATATGTATGTTCCTATTCCCAGTTTCTTAATTGTTTTGGGTTTGTTATTGTACGTCTTTTCCTTCTCTTGTGTTTCCTGCCTAGAGAATTTCCTTTAGCTTTTGTTGTACATCTGGTTTGCTGGTGCTGAATTGTCTTAGCTTTTGCTCGTCTGTAAAGGTTTTAATTTCTCCTTCAAGTCAGAATGAGATCCTTGCTGGGTAGAGTAATCTTGGTTGTAGGTTTTTCTCCTTCATCACTTTAAATATGTCCTGCCACTCCCTTCTGGCTTGCAGAGTTTTTGTTGAAAGATCAGATGTTAAACTTATGGGGATTCCCTTGTGTGTTATTTGTTGTTTTTCCCTTGCTGCTTTTAATATATTTTCTTTGTATTTAATTTTTGATAGTTTGATTAATATGTGTCTTCGCGTGTTTCTCCTTGGATTTATCCTGTATGGGATTCTCTGTGCTTCCTGGGCTTAACTATTTCCTTTCCCATATTAGGGAAGTTTTGAACTATAATCTTTTCAAATATTTTCTCAGTCCGTTTCTTTTTCTCTTCTTCTTCTGGGACCCCTATAATTCGAGTGTTGGTGCCTTTAATGTTGTCCCAGAGGTCTCTGAGACTGTCCTCAATTCTTTTTGTTCTTTTTTGTTTATTCTGCTGTGCAGTATTTATTTCCACTATTTTATCTTTCAGGTGACTTATCCATTCTTTTGCCTCTGCTATTGTTCTGCTATTGATTCCTTCTAGAGAATTTTTAATTTCACTTATTGTGTTATTCATCATTGTTTGTTTTCTCTTTAGTTCTTCTAGGTACTTGTTAAACGTTTCTTGTATTTTCTCCATTCTATTTCCAAGATTTTGGATCATCTTTACTATCATTACTCTGAATTCTTTTTCAGGTAGACTGCCTATTTCCTCTTCATTTGTTAGATCTGGTGGGTTTTTATCTTGCTCCTTCATCTGCTGCGTGTTTCTCTGTCTTCTCATTTTGCTTAACTTACTGTGTTTGGGGTCTCCTTTTCGCAGGCTGCAGGTTCATAGCTCCCGTTGTTTTTGGTGTCTGCCCCCAGTGGCTAAGGTTGATTCAGTGGGTTGTGTAGGCTTCCTGGTGGAGCGGACTAGTGCCTGTGTTCTCGTGGGTGGGGCTTGATCTTGTCTCTCTGGTGGGCACGTCCACATCTGGTGGTGTGTTTTGGGGTGTCAGTGGCCTTATTATGATTTTAGGCAGCCTCTCTGCTAATGGATGGCGTTGTGTTCCTTTCTTTCTGGTTCTTTGGCATAGGGTGTCCAGCACTGTAGCTTGCTGGTCGTTGAGTGTAGCTGGGTCTTGGCATTGAGATGGAGATCTCTGGGAGATTTTTGCCATTTGATATTACATGGAGCTGGGAGATCTCTTGTGGACCAGTGTCCTGACGTTGGCTCTTCCACCTTAGAGGCACAGCACTGACTCCTGGATGGAGCACCACAAGACTTTCATCCACATGGCTCAGAATAAAAGCGAAAAAAGGGAAGGAAGGAAGGATGGAAGGAAGGGGAAGGAGGGAAGGAAGGAGACAAAGTAAAGTTATTAAAATAAAAAATAATTATTAAGAAATAAATTTTAAAACGTTAAAAAAAAATACAGACGGACAGAACACATGAAAAGAGAAAAAGGGAATATATATATATATCTTTTGCTCCCAAAGTCCACCTCTTCAATTTGGGATGATTCGTTTTCTTATTCAGGTATTCCACAGATGCAGGGTACATCAAGTTGATTGTGGAGATTTAATCCACTGCTCCTGAGGCTGCTGGGAGAAATTTCCCTTTCTCTTCTTTGTTCGCACAGCTCCCAGGGTTCAGCTTTGGATTTGGCCCCGCCTCTGCGTGTAGGTCGCCTGAGGGCGTCTGTTCTTTGCTCAGACAGGACGTGGTTAAAGGAGCTGCTGATTCGAGGGCTCTGGCTCACTCAGGCCGGCGGGGAGGGAGGGGTACGGAGTGCGAGGCGAGCCTGCGGCAGCAGAGGCCAGCATGACTTTGCACCAGCCTGAGGCACGCCGTGTGTTCTCCCAGGGAAGTTGTCGCTGGATCACAGGACCCTGGCAGTGGCGGGCTGCACAGGCTCCTGGGAGGGGAGGTGTGGAGAGTGACCTGTGCCCGCACACAGGCTTCTTGGTGGCTGCAGCAGCAGCCTGAGCGTCTCAATCCCATCTCTGGGGTCTGCGCTGATAGCCGCAGCTCGTGCCTGTCTCTGGAGCTCCTTTAAGCAGCGCTCTTAATCCCCTCTCCTCGCGCACCAGGAAACAAAGAGGCAAGAAAATGTCTCTCGCCTCTTAGGCAGGTCCAGACATTTTCCCGGACTCCCTCCCGGCTAGCCGTGGTGCACTAACCCCCTGCAGGCTGTGTTCATGCAGCCAACCCCAGTTCTCTCCCTGGGATCCGACCTCTGAAGCCCGATCCTCAGCTCCCAGCCCCTGCCCGCCCCGGCAGGTGAGCAGACAAGCCTCTCGGGCTGGTGACTGCCGGTCAGCACCGATCCTCTGTGCGGGAATCTCTCCACTGTGCCCTCCCCACCCCTGTTGCTGCGCTCTCCTCCGTGGTCCCGAAGCATCCCCCCTCTGCCACCCGCAGTCTCCACCTGAGAAGGGGCTTCCTAGTGTGTGGAAACCTTTCCTTCTTCACAGCTCCCTCCCACTGGTGCAGGTCCTGTCCCTATTCTTTTGTCTCTCTATTTTCTTTTGCCCTACCCAGGTACGTGGGGAATTTCTTGCCTTTTGGGAGGTCTTAGGTCTTCTGCCAGAGTTCAGTAGGTGTTCTGTAGGAGCTGTTCCACGTGTAGATGTATTTCTGATGTATTTGTGGGGAGGAAGGTGACCTCTGCATCTTACTCTTCCGCCATCTTGAAGCTTCCTGCCCTCCTTTTATGAGTGAAGAAGCTAAGGCCCAGGCTACTTGCCATGGATAAGTACCAAATCAGTGGTAGAACTGAATCAGAACCGCTAGCCTGTGACCTCTACTGTCCTGCTTGTTAGAATCTCTGCCAAAGCAGGTATGGAAGAAAACAGAGATCCAGATTAGGTCAGTAGGTACACAGGGTCACTGAGACCCTGGAGTCAGGCAGACGTGAGTTCAAATTTTGATTCTATCACTTATCAGCCACTTGACTTTGAGCAAAGAATTTAATCCCTCTGAACCTCAATTTATGTGTCTGTACGATTGGGATAATAATGCCTCACTTATAGAGGTTTTGTGGGATGAAATAAGAAAATGCATCTGGCAACGGTTGAAATTATTATTGAAATTGATTTGAATAATCTGTGTTCATCACCATGGTAATGGAGAATACGGATGATTAATGAGACACGAATACTCCTACCTGTCTGCTCACAAAATCCAAATGGTACGGATGAGAAGAAAAATGGCGTTATGGTGCCAAACGCTGCAGTTGAAATTCTACTGACCTAGATATCACAGTTCAGGAAATAAGTAGACTTGGCAGAGATGGAGAGAAGGAAAAAATAAAAAGTACCAGAGCTCTGAGCGCAGAATATCAACAGTCAAATTCTCTTGCTTTCAGTCACACACCTTTTGAATCCAATTTGCTCTCCATTATTTGTTTAACTTCTGTTAATTTTATCCAAATGCTAATCTCCTTACATTCTAAAGCCAGTATACAAAATCACACCAATAAAGTACTCAGATGACTGGTTAAATTGCATTTTGCAACTGTGTGTGGGCACATGGGCTTGGCTCTGTCAGGGTTGGTGGAAGGGCAGGGGGAACTGGACTATCATAAAATGTTTTACACTAGTTTTGATGGGTTTGCCATTCTGACTTATTAAATTTGAGGCATAAGGAAAATGAGACAAAGGGGTGTCTGTGTTTGAAGCCTACATTGACATTATCCATTTCCTGTGTTTAAGGAGCTGGAATATCAGAAGTCTCAGCCCTCACGGCCTGGAGATAAGTTTGTGTCTGTTGTCAGCCAGTTCATCACGGTAGCCAGTTTCAGCTTCTCTGACGTTGAAGATCTTCTAGCAGAAGCTAAAGACCTGGTAAATTTCCCCTTGCGCACTGAGTGTTGCTTGACAGAGCTGGTACTTTCAGATATTATAAGTATACTTTCATTTCTAGGGCTGTGATCAGTTGAAAAACATGCTTTCTATCTAACTGGGCTTTAGGTTAGTAAGACCTTGAAGTATCTGAATGGTGTAAAACAAGTAAATACTTTGACAGTTTTAAATATTTTGATAGTTTTTCCCTTGATTGTTATTATAATTATCTCTGGGAAACAGAAAAGAGTGGATTATGAAAACCAAGGGCAGGATGAAATGTGACATCAAGGTATGACTGAGGCCTTGTGCTTCAGAAACTTGTAAGATGCTCGCCTGAGACAGAGACTTAGGAGGGCAGGATATTCCCTCTTTAAATGTCTAGAAGAACTTACTAAATGATAGGCACTTTAATTCAGAGCCTCATTGCGAAAGACATTTTTTTTTTTTTTGCGGTACGCAGGCCTCTCACTGTTGTGGCCTCTCCCGTTGCGGAGCACAGGCTCCGGACGCACAGGCTCAGCGGCCATGGCTCACGGGGCCCAGCCGCTCCGCAGCATGTGGGATCTTCCCAGACCGGGGCACGAACCCGTGTCCCCTGCATCGGCAGGCGGACTCTCAACCCCTGCGCTACCTGGGAACCCCAAAAGGCATATTTTTAATAAGACTTTTTTAAAAAATGAATTTTGCTATTACAAAATCTTGTTTTCCTGTAAGGGAAGAGTTTTCATTGGCAAATATCCAACACCTTAAAATCCCCCTGCCCCATCTCTCTGTCTCTGTCTCTCTCTGGTTATTTCCTCTTCTAAAATTTATACACATTCATATACATGTGCACATTCTCTTGTCCCCTTCTCATTGTTAACAAATGTCATTAAGCTGCTATCCACCCTACTGAGTTCCTCCACACTGCCCATCTCTCAGTTGTGACAACACTCTTTTGCTTTAACTTGAATCTTTCCTTTGAAACTTGAGTAATGAATCTCATTTTTCTGTGGTCCCCTGTTCAGTTGTAGATATGGATGATTGTAAGTGTACACACATACTCATTAAAGTTCAGAAGTAGACTATGTTAAGATACACTAGCTAATCTCAACATTGAAACCCCACCTCCAATGTTATTAAATAAATGCAAGACAAGATATGTTTGAACGACTGTTGTTAGAGGTCCAGCCCCTGGTACCCCTGATTGAAATCAGTGAACTGATGTCAGCAGCCTCCCCTGTGATGGCCCCCAACTCAATCTAGGCAATACAGTACCTACTTCATCACGGGCTCAAACATTTTTCTAAGAATCAACTGAATAGTTAATTTTTGATTTATACAAACTCTACTTTTTTTTTTTTTTTTTCAATTTTAGTGTGGGAACTTTAGTCTGGGACTAGTTTTGTTCAGATTTCTAAGACTAAAATATACATGACTTCATCATCACTAGAATTCCTAGATAAAAAGATCATTCAGGATGGCTTTGACATGCCTGAACATCAATGTTTTAGAAACGCAATTGTAGTCTATCTGTTGCTGTTATGTTCATACCAGAACTTTTAGAAATTAGCTTATAAAACCATGCAGCAACTGAAGCGCTGCATGTGGTGTATGAAGAATGTCGTATTTTTCCCTTAAGAGCTTAGTTTCTAATAAAATATTTCCAAATAAGTAAAAGGTTGAGAATGCCTCGATGAAGAGAAAAATGGTAAAAAAGCATTATTATAAATTTAAAGATATGAAATATAAAACAATTGAAAATTGTCTTATTTAAGAATAAATGTTGAAAATATTTCCTTTACAGAGATAGGATCGCCAAAATGTCAGGAAAACTTAACAATATACTAAAGACAAGTAGTGCAAGAAAAATAAAAGCAATTAGACCATGAAGTATTTATGCAGTCCTCCCCAACCTAAGAGTTTCAAACTGTGAAGAAAACGAAAGATCTGGAAATTTTGAAGTAGTTGATTAGGCATAGGGAGTAAGAATTTGTTTGACCTTGAAGTTAGAAACACCGTCCGTTGTAGTTTAGATGTAATAGCATTAGATCCTTACAGAAGGAGATATAGTTCTAAAAAACAACTTGACTGGCATTGAACAGTATTTGGATGGTCATAATAATGCTAAGACACTTGAAAGCATACTATCTCGAGTTGTGAAGATAACCAGAAGAACTAAAAACAGAAATGTTAAAACTAAAAAGACTGGCTGTGCTATTTTGTTAGCCTATATATTTTTTAATTTAATTTTTAAAAATTCACCCTTAATATTTTGCATTTTATCTGTTTTTAAAAGATTTGCCTTGAAAGGGGTTCTAAAACAAAGGATTTAGAATAAAATTGTATTCTCAGTTATGAATTTTGAGTTGCCTTAATGATTCCATAATCAGTGAGTGTTTTCTAATTGAGGCCCAGGAAGTACAGTAATACCCATATTATTTATGATTAGTAAAAGCAGCTAAGAAACACTGTATCCTATTTGCTTTTGATACTAACTACATGGCACCAATAAATGATACTAAACTACTTCAAAGAAAAGTTAAAAGTACAAGTTTCCTTACCCCTGCTGAGTTTGCTCTTAGTTTTATATCCTGAGGAGTGCTCTGCCCTGTGATATTCTGCTTTCTTGTTTTTACTACTGTTTAGTTAATAAAGAGTCATAGGATGTAATCATAGATGTTAAGCTGAAATGAGGTGGACAAGGATAAATGGTTTCACAAGTCGTGGAGTATTACATTTTTTCCTTTAGAAGTGATTGATAGACATGTTCAGCAGCCAAAGATAAATCCAGCGAGTTATATTTGACTCAATTTGACCTTTAGCCCCTTGAGAGAGATTGATATTTATGTGATCACGGCCTTCTCTTGGAAGACTGAACTTCTTAAAACCTTCTTTCTTCCAGTTTACTAAAGCAGTGAAACACTTTGGGGAAGAGGCTGGCAAAATACAGCCAGATGAGTTCTTTGGCATTTTTGATCAGTTTCTTCAGGCTGTGTCAGAAGCCAAACAAGAGAATGAAAACATGAGAAAGAAGAAGGAGGAAGAAGAGCGCCGAGCTCGAATGGAGGCTCAGGTAAGTGGGTGGCCAGTTCCACCCCCAGAAAGTTCTGTTGCTGCATCTCCTTGGTTTTTAGGAAGCGCTCTGCCATGCTGGCAAGAAGGAGGGCATCAATGTCCTATCTAGAAGGCTGCTGGGAGTTTCAACTGGTAGAAAGTTTCTCTTGGGCAATGTGGCAGTCTATATCCAAAGCCTAAAAATATATATGCCCTTCCTTTGATCTGGAGTTCCACTTCTTAGAAATCAGTCTAAAGAAGTAATCATACATGTGCACAAAGAGAGCAGCAGTCTTTTTGATAGGCCCTAACCTGGAACAACCTACCCGTTTACTGACTGGGCATTAGTTCTAAATGATGTAATAGCTACATAGTGCACTGTTTACACAGTCCTTAAAAGTCATGTCTTTAAAGAATATTTAATGATGTGAGAAAGCTTAGATAACAATGGTTATCTCTTGATAAACAAAAGGGGAAAAATTATCCTTAATTCTTTAAGGATATCTAAATTTTCTATAATGTGTGTGTATTATTTGGCTCTTAATAATAGTAACTCTTGCATAGCAGGTTCCAGGCATCCACAGTAGATACAGGCTTAGCCTTTGATGTCAGGAACGTGGCCTAATGAGCATTTGCTTTAGTGTCTCTATACCATCAAAGAAACCAATATTTGGGGTCTATTTAATAGTGATAACTTTCTTATTCCATCATAGAAATATGAGTAGCCTTAATTGCTCTCTTTAACTAGAATATCATGGGGTTTACCCAGATTCTAGATGGCAAGAGTCTAATCACAAAGTGGTGGTCAGTTTTTTCATTGTTCCTTGCTTCTCTGATGAGCCCTCATGTCCCAGTCATCCTCTGAGCCCTCATGTCCCAGTCATCCTCTCTCATGACATCCAAGGGGGCTGGCAGCTATCAACAAATGTGGCTCAGTGGACTGAAGCACCGTCATGTTCCACAGAATTCATCTCCACTCAATACAAAACACAATATTATTTTGACACTTCTCTAAGAGGTCATCTTCCATTTGCAGCTCAAGGAACAACGTGAAAGGGAACGGAAAATGAGGAAAGCAAAAGAGAACAGTGAAGAAGGCGGAGAGTTTGATGACCTGGTTTCCGCTTTGCGCTCAGGAGAAGTGTTTGACAAAGACCTTTCTAAACTGAAACGGAATCGCAAGCGCATTACCAACCAGATGACGGACAGCAGCCGGGAGAGACCAGTCACAAAACTTAATTTCTAATTTCCCTTGAATACTTTTTTAGAAAGCTCATTAGCGGCCCTTTGAAGTGACTAGAACTTTTCATTACACTGCCTTGCAATCCAAACAGTGGCAATTTCTCCTTTCATCTGCGAGTGAATGAGTGAATGTGTGTGTATGTACATGTATGTGTGTGTATATATGAAGAAATGTATATAGAAATCTGAGAGTTGTCTGGAGACCTATATGTTTGGTTAAAAAAAAAAAATCTATGTTTATGTATGTGCTCAGAACCCATTTGTGTATATGCATTCATATTGAGTGTGGCTCATCTTCTTCCCCTGAACACCATGACTGTTCAGAAGCACAATACTATCTCCTCAAAGAGATACAGAGACATTCCCTAGAGTAAAAAGAAAAAAAATAAAGCTTGAGAAATATTTTATGGTTTCCAAGCTTGATATACTTTGAAATTATTTTCACTGGTGAAACTGGTGTTGGAAAAATATAGATTTAAAATGGTTTTTGATAGTTGACAGTATGATGCTGGTGCATCGCATCAGTAGTTGATAGGACCAGCTTAGAATTTCTGACATTGATGTGGGGATGCAGTCTGTAAATGTTTATTGAGAACATCTGGCACAAAATCTGAATTATGTAGAATGTCAATCAGAGTTCTTTTATATGTTTAAAACTTGGACATCAATTTTTCCCCCCTAATTTCATCGAGTTCTCTGCCAAGCACTCTTAATGATTTCTTTACATTGCTTTTGGAAAGAACACTATCTAAATGCAATCCATGCTCTTGTTAAAGAACAAAATTACCATAATGTGCTTGTTTTCCTAACAATATAGACCTATAAACTCTAAAAATAAAATTTCCCACCCAAGACTTACAAGGAGGAATTCTCTGAAAGGATAAAAATTATTTTAAAAAAAATTTTATGGGGTGCATTTTTTTTTTTTTTTTTTTTGGTATTTTCTGTTTTGTAGGACAAGCTGCATCTTCTGTAAATATAGGTCTGGACTAAAGGACATTTAGTGAATGCACAAAATGTCAACACCACCAACAGAGATGCCAAGAGCTATTTATCTCTAAGTATGTTTGATGTGATTTGCTGTTTATATGTTGTCATTTTAAGTTGTGTGTCAGTAACGCTACCTGTAAAATTTCAGTCCAAAAGATAAAGCTCTCAGGGAGAAATGAATAAAAACAATGAACATTAGAAAATAAAATATAGATGCTTACCATTAACCTACCAACTCTTAATATCCTTAAATTATATGATATATAAAGAGGACTGTTACTTTTTTTTTTTTGCTTTGCTTTATTTATTAGTAGTGGGGGAGGGGAGCTAAGGTTCTCTGTTTTCTTTCCATTGATCCTGTTGTGGTTGGGTTTCCTGTGGAGAGAGTAGTTTGTCCTATTGCACTAGAACATTATTTACTCACTAAATTGAGTTTTTCAGTCAATTAACAAATATTTATTGAAACACCTACTATGTGCCAGGCATAGTAGGGCTACAGTGGTAAGCAAGACAGAGCCCCTGCCCCCAAGGAGCTTATGCTCTAATGGGGACAGTTAAGGGGCAAACAGAATACCGATGCGTGCGCTGTACAGGAATTGTGCTATTTAAAAATAATTTGTATAAACTATAATGCCTAGCGCAGATGGCAAGGTCTCTGCGCTACATGAAAGCTGTGAAATAGCGCTCTAAGAGTTGGCAAGAGCCGTGGTTTTACGTTTTTTCCCCCTCACTGCAAACTTAGCAACTTTCTACACATTATATGGATGACTCTAGCAAATAAAACAGTCACAAATACACAGCAGACGTCGCGCTCCCCCAGCTCCTATGTACCAAGGTCTGCAAGTACACCACATTAAAGGTGCAGACGAGACTTTGCTCAAAAAAGCTTGGAGGTGAGAAGGAGTGGGATGTGCTATGTCTGTTCCTTAACTAAAGTGCCTCTATATATATTCTTTTCTATTTAGAGCAGGAGAAATTTGATCTGGCTCAAGTTTGGAACTGTCTTTTGAAAATGGCTTTGTTTTACAGTTTAAGGAATGGACAAGTGGAGGGAGAGTCACATAAAGGAGCAAGTGTGTGTAGCATGTTCCTCTCGCCCTTTTTCATCATCCTCATTTTGATATGGCCATCCTGGTAGGCCTTCTTTGCCATTTCCATTTTTCGTTTCTTTCCCAGAAAGCTGTGTGCAGGTAATTCCATGTGCCATTGTTGGAAAAAAAAACCCTACTTTTTAGATTGGTGCTGGTGTAAGTAGCCACTTTTTCCTCTCTTGGGTGTGTATTTTAAAAGTTTTTTGTTTGTTTGTTTTTTTAAATTAATGCCAAAAAGAAAAAGCATTATAATTTGTAAACTTAATTGTATGTCTTGTATCTTATTAGCTTAGTAGTTGGAACCACTTAGTCTTTAGGCGCGAGACTGTTGTTATAGTACCAAGAAAAAATGTTGTGTTATGAGACTGTAAATTTTTTTAAATAGCAACATGCAATAAAGAGATGAATTCATTAGGTGTTATGTATATGCTCTCTATGAGTTATTAAAACAGCATTATCAAACTTCTTTGCACTTTCCACCATTAAATTGAAATATTTCAAGTTGTTTACTAAATTAGAAATGATACATTTTTTAAACCTGTACATACTGGGCCTAGAGAAGTATAGTTTTCTGCTATGGCAGTGTTCAGGATGTCCACAGACTACCATATACTACCTCCTTCTGTAACATGTTTTTGGTATAACTCTATGTGTTGAACCGTTTCATGGTGGAGCTACTGGTGAAATTATTCAACTGGGGATATAGAAAAGGGTCTCTAATCTCTACAATCAAAATCTTTTTCATTTTGAAGCATTTCCTTTTAAAAAATTAATTTATGATATAGGTCAATATGGGAAACATCACCATATGGAAGAAGGAGTGCGTATTCTGTTCTCTGAAAATTGGGACTCTCAGCCCCACATCACTTCGGTTTCCTGGCCATCCTCTACCCAATTCGAAGTCAAGCTGAAAACAAATTATCCTAGTGGTTGCTAGAGAATCCAAGCACTTCTGATCTTGAGAGTGGACTCATAATGTTCTTATAATTGCTAACATCTTGGTTTTTTCTACCTAGTCCCTGGATACTGCATAGTATCCAAAGACTACTTTGTTCTCTTACACTGGCGTCCTGCTGCATGGTCAGCAAACTTTATATTCCTCCCTACAATCATGGGGACCTACATACAGAACCATCTAGACCCTCAGCAGCCCTTGGTGTATTGATAGAAACAGGGAAAAACCTGAAACTTGCAGATCATTATGCTTATTTGTACGTCTTCAGTTTTCCCCAGAAAATCATCACTGGGGAAAATGTGCTCTGTCGGGCGGTGAAGCTGTTCAAACCCTCCAGGATTCTGCCCCTTTCCTATACTTAACACGGATTGGTCAGGCAAAAGGATAATCTTTAATAAACTAGTTTGGACACAATTCTTTAAAAGGTCAAGTTCTGAAAGGGGGGAATTTTCTGTGACCTTTTTTTTAAACAACAAACACCACCTATTCCCTAATCATATAGAAAACCTAAGTTAAGACCCCCCAAGGTTTGGAGGAGCTTCAAGATGGCAGAAGACTAAGACGTGGAGATCACCTTCCTCCCCACAAATACGTCAGAAATACATCTACATGTGGAACAACCCCTAAAGAACACCTACTGAATGCCGGCAGAAGACCTCATACCTCCCAAAAGGCAAGAAACTCCCCACGTACCTGGGTAGGGCAAAAGAAAAAACAGAGACAAAAAAATAGGGACGGGACCTGCACCAGTGGGAGAGAGCTATGAAGGAGGAAAGGTTTCCACACACTAGGAAGCCCCTTCGTGGGCAGAGACTGCGGGCGGCGGAGGGGGGAAGCTTCGGAGCCACGGAGGAGAGCGCAGCCACCGGGGTTCAGAGGGCAAAGCAAAGAGATTCCCACACAGAGGATCGGTGCCGACCGGCACTCACCAGCCCAAGAGGCTTGTCTGCTCACCCGACAGGGCAGGCGGGGGCTGGGAGCTGAGGCTCGGGCTTCGGAGGTCAGATCCCAGGGAGAGGACTGGGGTTGGCTGCATGAACACATCCTGAAGGGGGCTAGTGCACCACGGCTAGCCGGGAGGGAGTCCGGGGAAAAGTCTGGAGCTGCCGAAGAGGCAAGAGACTTTTTCTTGCCTCTTGGTTTCCTGGTGCGCGAGGAGAAGGGATTAAGAGCGCTGCTTAAAGGAGTTCCAGAGACGGGCGCAAGCTGCAGCTATCAGCGCAGACCACAGAGATGCTGCTGCCGCCACCAAGAAGCCTGTGTGCGAGCACAGGTCACTCTCCACACACCCCCTTCCAGGGAGCCTGTGCAGCCCGCCACTGCCAGGGTCCCGTGATCAGGGACAACTTCCCCGGGAGAATGCACAGCACACCTCAGGCTGGTGCAACGTTGTGCTGGCCTCTGCTGCCGCAGGCTTGCCTCGCACTCTGTACCCCTCCCTCCCCGCCAGCCTGAGTGAGCCAGAGGCCCTGAATCAGTGGCTCTTTTAACCCTGTCCTGTCTGAGCAAAGAACACATGGCCTCCAGTGACCTACACGCAAATGTGGGGCCAAATCCAAAGCTGAACCCCGGGAGCTGTGCGAACAAAGAAGAGAATGGGAAATGCCTCCCAGCAGCCTCAGGAACAGCAGATTAAATCTCCACAATCAACTTGATGTACCCTGCATCTGTGGAATACCTGAATAAGAAAACGAATCATCCCAAATTGAAGAGGTGGACTTTGGGAGCAAAAGATATACTTTTTTTTCCCCCTTTTTCTCTTTTAGTGAGTGTGTTCTGTCCATCTGTATTTTTTTTAACGCTTTAAAATTTATTTCCTAATAATTATTTTTTATTTTAATAACTTTATTTTATTTTATCTCCTTTCTTTCCTTCCTTCCTTCCTTCCCCTTCCTTCCTTCCTTCCCCTTCCTTCCTTCCTTCCTTCCTTCCTTTTTTCTCACTTTTATTCTGAGCCATGTGGGTGAAAGGCTCTTGGTGTTCCAGCCAGGAGTCAGTGCTGTGCCTCTAAGGTGGGACAGCCAACTTCAGGACACTGGTCCAAAGAGACCTCCCAGCTCCACGTAATATCAAACGGCGAAAATCTCCCAGATATCTCCATCTCAATGCCAAGACCCAGCTACACTCAACGACCAGCAAGCTACAGTGCTGGACACCCTGTGCCAAACAACCAGTAAGACAGGAACACAATGCCATCCATTAGCAGAGAGGCTGCCTAAAATCATAATAAGGCCACAGACACCCCAAACACCCCACCAGATGTGGACATGCCCACCAGAGAGACAAGATTCAGCCCCACCCACCAGAACACAGGCACTAGTCTGCTCCAACAGGAAGCCTACACAACCCACTGAATCAAACTTAGCCACTAGGGGCAGACACCAAAAACAACGGGAGCTACGAACCTGCAGCCTGCGAAAATGAGACCCCAAACACAGTAAGTTAAGCAAAATGAGAAGACAGAGAAACACGCAGCGGATGAAGGAGCAAGGTAAAAACCCACCAGACCAAACAAATGAAGAGGAAATAGGCAGTCTACCTGAAAAAGAATTCAGAGTATGATAGTAAAGATGATCCAAAATCTTGGAAATAGAATGGAGAAAATACAAGAAACGTTTAACAAGTACCTAGAAGAACTAAAGAGAAAACAAACAATGATGAATAACACAATAAGTGAAATTAAAAATTCTCTAGAAGGAATCAATAGCAGAACAATAGCAGAGGCAAAAGAATGGATAAGTCACCTGAAAGATAAAATAGTGGAAATAAATACTGCACAGCAGAATAAACAAAAAAGAACAAAAAGAATTGAGGACAGTCTCAGAGACCTCTGGGACAACATTAAAGGCACCAACACTCGAATTATAGGGGTTCCAGAAGAAGAAGAGAAAAAGAAACGGACTGAGAAAATATTTGAAAAGATTATAGTTGAAAACTTCCCTAATATGGGAAAGGAAATAGTCAATCAAGTCCAGGAAGCACAGAGTCCCATACAGGATAAATCCAAGAAGAAACACACCAAGACATATTAATCAAACTATCAAAAATTAAATACAAAGAAAATATATTAAAAGCAGCAAGGGAAAAACAACAAATAACATACAAGGGAATCACCATAAGTTTAACAGCTGATCTTTCAACAGAAACTCTGCAAGCCAGAAGGGGGTGGCAGGACATATTTAAAGTGATGAAGGAGAAAAACCTACAACCAAGATTACTCTACCCAGCAAAGAACTCATTCAGATTCAACAGAGAAATTAAAACCTTTACAGACAAGCAAAAGCTAAGAGAATTCAGCACCACCAAACCAGATGTACAATAAATGCTAAAGGAAATTCTCTAGGCAAGAAGCACAAGAGAAGGAAAAGACGTACAATAACAAACCCAAAACAATTAAGAAACTGGGAATAGGAACATACATATCGATAACTACCTTAAATGTAAATGGATTAAATGCTCCAACCAAAAGACATAGACTGGCTGAATGGATACAAAAACAAGCCCTGAATACATGCTGTCTACAAGAGACCCACTTCAGACCTAGGGACACATACAGACTGAAAGTGAGGGGATGGAAAAAGATATTCCATGCAAATGGAAACCAAAAGAAAGCTGGAGTAGCAATTCTCGTATCAGACAAAATAGACTTTAAAATAAAGACTCTTACAAGAGACAAAGAAGGACATTACATAATGATCAAGGGATTGATCCAAGAAGAAGATATAACAATTGTAAATCTTTATGCACCCAACATTGGAGCACATCAATACATAAGGCAAATACTAACAGCCATAAAAGGGGAAATCGACAGTAACACAATCATAGTAGGGGACTTTAACACCCCACTTTTACCAATGGACAGATCATCCAAAATGAAAATAAATAAGGAAACACAAGCTTTAAATGATACATTAAACAAGATGGACTTAATTGATATTTATAGGACATTCCATCCAAAAACAACAGAATACACTTTCTTCTCAAGTGCTCATGGAACATTCTCCAGAATAGATCACATCTAGAGTCATAAATCAATCCTTGGTAAATTTAAGAAAATTGAAATCATATCACGTATCCTTTCCAACCACAACGCTATGAGACTAGATATCAATTACAGGAAAAAATCTGTAAAAAAAATACGAACGCATGGAAGCTAAACAATATACTATTTAATAACAGAGAAATCACTGAAGAAATCAAAGAGGAAATCAAAAAATACCTAGAAACAAATGACAATGAAAACACGATGACCCAAAACTTATGGGATGCAGCAAATGCAGTTCTAAGAGGGAAGATTCACAGCAACACAGTCCTACCTTAAGAAACAAGAAATATCTCAAATAAACAACCTAACCTTACACCTAAAGCAATTAGAGAAAGAAGAACAAAAACCCCCCAAAGTTAGCAAAAGGAAAGAAATCATAAAATCAGATCCGAAATAAATGAAAAAGAAATGAAGGAAACGA